AGAGCACGTCAACAGTTCTGCTAAATTGGCTTCGAGGGAAAAGTACGCCAAAAGTAGTCCACATGTGAGTCACGCATTTATTGTATAAGTTTTGTTAATAATGAGGTTGAACCAACCGTCCTTCTTCCCGACAAATTATTTAGTTTTTAGGAACATGACAGATTAAATATCAGTTAAAACTTTATTGAAATCATCTTATTTGCTTTTACGTGCATTTATCAAAAAAGCCACCACTGCACTTCACAATTTTCGAAATGTTTCGTAAAACATTTAGTTGTTAATTGTGCCCTTAGAAACTTGCCAACGAATATCAAACTATACCAGATCCTCTTTAGGTACCGTAACATGGGCTATCTTGCTCCAAGAGTACGTTCAAATACGTGTATTTAAAAGTAGTTAACTTTTACAGCTCAAATTATACAAATTCATCGAAATATCAAAATTTATTTGTAATCATCATTAGGAGCGAAATAGCGACATCCCATAGCTTTCTTCCCACTATCTCTTCCAGCTGTTAGTTAGTTCATTATACAGAATTTTCATTTAATAAATAGGTCTGGTATGTGAGATTTGAGAAATTACGATTCTTATGTTCTGCTGGATATGAGCTCATTTAGAATGACATGAATTAAAGTTCTTATGAGTATAGTAGAAAGGGCATGCAACTTAAAAGAGGACATAAGAAAACTTAGATTGGCAAGTACGAACGAACGACGGAATTCTTCACTAACCCTTGAGCTTACACTGCATTCCTCGACGAACCTTCCTTATTTACTTTCCCTTTATCCGTTTCTGTTGAATACAAGATAATGTATAAACTAGTATATGCTAGATAAAAGAATAGTTCCATAAACTATCCTATTTATTAATTTTTATATTTACTTTTCTTTGTTTTATTTTTAGTTACGATTATTGATTTATTTTAAATGAAAAAATTGTAAAATGCTATGTCATTGCTCACGATTGCTGACATAATTGTTGATTTGTGAAATTGATATTTCCCAAAAAGATTAAATCGTGCCTTTTCATTCATAGACCATATTGTAAATGTTATCGTTGTTACACGTTAGCTGTTCACACTTGGAACACGTATTATTAAAATTCTGAACCTGTATAATTTATGTATATAATCAACGGATTCTTTATGAATAAGAATCCTTGTATATTGAATTTGTAAATTTGTTTCTTGATTAAATGGTGTTCATTTGATATTTTGTTTCTTTTTATACTTTGCTGAAAATGCATTCATTACTAAAATACCTGCTTTTATGTGTATCTCTGCGTACAAACAGTGTGCGTTACCCAGGCTAGATGTTGTCGAAAATGGTCATTTGAATCTTATAGATAATTAGTTGTCCGGCTTCTGTAATTGTTGCGCACATTTTTAAATTTGTTGCGCTTATAGTTTTTTTTATTATTTCACAAAAAAATTTCCTGCTGGGGTAACGTTACCCCAGCCAGACCTTTTTCTTTCTGATGGGAATATTTAAATAATTACTAGCTATAAAATTAGTTGTCTAGATGAAGTAAATGTTGTGCCTTGTTTTGTATTTGTTCTTTTATCGGTTATTCGAGATTTTGCTAGAGTAGTTTTTGATTTGGCTAGATTTTTGAAATGGTTAAGCGGATTCTTATCATATTTGATACATGGCTTCTAAGGAATTAGTTCAAATTTGTTGTGCAATAAAAATACCAAAATTATAAATAGCTTAAAGGTTATTTCATTAAATAGAAAAACACTTAAATTGGTCCCATCACACTCAATAAGAGCTCTAAAGACTTACTTAATTACGTTATTTTAAAACTCGTAACTGCCTTCAAATGTACGTGAAGTTCTATTAGTATCCTGTGAGTATTGAACAAGTTAGGACGACATTGAGTTCTTCACGAGCACGGTCTTGATGCGCGTGGTGTTATTTGGCCACTGGATTAGATATATGAACTGAATGTTATGTCAATAATTAGTTGTTTAGTTCAGTTGTACATCAGTAAAATTTCAGCTCAGTACATTGGATAATTAATGAGATAATACGATTAAAGTCATTAGGAAGCTTCGATCAACAATAACAACTAGATATCGGGTCGGCGCAAGAAAATCGTCTCGACAAATAAGAGCTCACTTGAGAAGTGAGCTCTTATTTTGTTTAGTATGCTCCAAACACGACCAACGTACTCACGTCTCACGAGTAATTGCAAGTTGCAAAAATAACAACCGAAAAAGCAGTATAACGGCCGGAGTCTCTTACTTTTGATAAGTACATAAAGTATAAGTTATATTTTAAGCTTTTAAACTAGTAAATAATATCAAATTAGACAAAATTATCAATTATAAACCAACGCCACCAATGTTTGTGCGTGTGTTGGCGATTCCTTGGCCAAGTCTCGCCAACATTTGTATAAACAGAACAGTGGATGCATGGAATCGATTTGTATTGAAAAAATAAGAAATTGTATTGTTTGTTGCTCGTTCTTCTCCATAGGAATCTGCACCTTGGAATGAGCAAATAGCTTCACTTTTAAATTTATATTGTTGTTGTTCAAAAGTGCCTTCCTGGTATAACTGAAATAAATAATTTTGACTTAGACTTAGACTTTTAACGATAAAGTAAATAAACATATCATACACAAAAACGTACCGCTAATAAAAATTAGTGATGTATACTAAGATCCCGAAATGTTAATTTTCATATTATAAAATTATTTTAGTGTCCAACGCGACTCCATACATACCTCCTGTAGCGAAATTCGAAATTTGAAGAAGCAAAACGAAACAAAACAAAACGATATAGATCGCAAGACAATAATGGAAAAATTATCTTTATTTGTTCGACCTTAAGGTTGAATTCAAACTAGATATTGTATAACTTATGTCTTTTAATTTCTACATGACAGGAGTAAGAAAATACTTTTCTTGTCTTATGTGACGAATGGTCGTAAGTATTAGATAATATTTTGACGATTTATGACTTTATAATTAGGTGCCATGGTTGTTATTAGGTTGAACTTAAAACTATTTTAAAACATTTTTCTCTGTTTGTTATTTTTTTACTATTATTATTCACACGGACAGAACTGGAGCTTGATTTTGTACGTAACCCTTTATCTAGTTGTTATTGTTGATCGAAGTTAGGAAGAGAATGACCGTAGTAACCCGACCAAGTTTAGGTGGTTACGTAAAAGTGAAAACACATGCCAGTATTAAAATGGTTGGATGTGGAAACGTACAAATAAAATCAGCCTTTACTGAGACTAAACTTGCACGAGGGAGTTGAACACGTGGTCTCAGCCGCCATTATTGGTGGTATGAGTTACACAATTGATTGTAGAAACTCCAATCGACATTCTAGACAAGTACAAAGAATTATGGTAATTGTACCATTGCATATTAAAGAAATAAGGGTAAAAGTTTGAAATAAGAACATAATGTTTATATTTTGGAATTTTTTATTACTTTTTCTTTAGATATTTACACTCTCAACGACTTAATTCTACTATAATCCAATATGTCACTTAAATATAATAAATCACAATAAAAATCAAAGTAATGAAAATGTTCTGTCATAATTACTTTTAGAATTTTGGTCCTTATAATATTATTAAAGTATATTTTATAAATCGCTCAAAGCTCACATCTATTTGAGCCAAGTAGCTCTAAAGCATTTTATCCGTTTTTATAAATCGCATCTCCGGAAAATACAATTTTCCTTAACATTTTTATAATCTAAATTCATAATAAACATACTAAATTTCTTACACTATTTCGAAAAAGCCAGTCCAAAAAGCCAAATAGCAATTAATAAGACTAACTTCGTAATGCGTATGTTTTCCCACATAATTTTATATACAAGCTAATATATTAAGCATATATTTCTATTCGGCAATATGTTCACATCTGACGCAGTATTTACTATTGCGATACCTAAACATTAGGTATGACTACTCCACAACCAAGTTTGTGCAAATTAAATATATATTTTTGCAATGAAGGGTATCACTTATCAAATACAGTTATTTAAATATTTCAAGGTATTGTATCAAGTCTCTGAGATACTAAATCAAAATATGTTTCTTTAATAAAATACTTGTTTAGTAGTGTAACTTATGGCACCACATGCTTACAGCACATCTATATAATATATTTACATGTTAATCTAATATGTACATCGACACCAGATCCTACATAGTAATTAAACTTATAATCTGTACGAACAATCAGGTGTATGTGATATAACAAGAAGTACGAAAACTATAAATATATAAACGCAATACCTTAGTAAAGTTAGGAGACGTGACACCTCAACATTCTGCCCGCCTTACGTAATCTTGGAAGACATTGGAGTGATTTCTTGTTCACTTTATATATAACTACTCAAAACTTAATGTGCACATAATTATCAGAGTGCATATAACTAACTTAGTCTAACATTAGTATAATCCTATTGTAACCAGCGCTCACTGTTTCTTCTACCTACGCCACCCGTACTTAATTACACATACCTACGTACAAACTAAATATGAAGATACTGTATCACAATTTTTTAATTAAAGTTACGAGCGCTTCGATAATTAATTAGTCTAGTCGAAACATTAAGTACAAAATAGTGGAACTTGATGACTATTGCGTGTATGTTTAGTTCTGATGGTTCAAACATAGGAACGATCGATCGCGTGATTTAATAACTAAATGCTAACCTAAAATCTTAAGCATGGATCACATTGTTTTTTTTTTACATTTTCGTTTAGCAACAATCCGAAATGGTCTCGCATAGTACTTCTAAGTTAACATATTATGACTGGAAGTGACTACGATACGAAATTAAATTAAAATTTATAACACTTATCACAATATTTTATCAACTAATACGTAAGGAACAAAGGTAATAAATCAATTTGCTTACATACATAAGTTTAAAGTGCACTATCGAAACAAAAATATACAGCCCCTTGTCTACATCTATTACCTATTTTATTAATTATGTAAATATTATTTGCAGTTGCACGGCTAATTTTATACAAAGTTCTGACTCCATGGTGTGTTATAAATATAATATGAAATGTACGTAATATTAGTTTTTACAATACACAAGCGTAATTTATTGCCTTCCCCCGATACAATAACATACATCTGATGACATTCTATTTCTGAAAGAATTTAGTGAACCGAAAAATAATTATAATGTCTGATAATAATTTGAACTTCTAAAATGGTTGATTAAGTAAAAGTTAAAGGTATTGTACCTCGATTTACTTCGACTAACAGTGATTGAATCAGCTGATAAATATATCTTACTTACAAACGCTACTTGATAAAACTACTATATTTAATTACAGAATAACTGAAGGGTTGAGTCAGTTTATGTTATAAAATAAGAAAAAATGTGAAGCTAACTTTGGTCCCATACGAACATGTAACAAGGTAATGACTATCTATTTGTAACAGCTATTTGATTAGCAAACTATTACAGATTTATTAGAGCACTCGGCAGGTGAAATTGAAGCTTAAATTATTAAGAGGTAGATTGTAATTTCAAGAACCGTAAAACTAGACCTGAAAGAGTTCTATCTAAAGAAAACTCGTTCAATGCAAAACAATTTTAGTGAACGCACAGACTAGAGGCAAATTACAAGTAGCACGCAGGGCTTACACTTATTTATTATGTATGCGCAAGTTGCGATTAGTAAGATACGTACAAAATTACCTACGTTAGAGACATATGATTGTCAGTCTTGGGTTCAGTCCTTGATCACGGGCATCTTGAACATGATAGTTTAAAGTATTTTCGTACTAATGCACCGTAATTAAAGCAATCGTCCGTGGGTCACGGGACGCGGCGGTGGACGTGCACGTAGTTCAGAAGTGCACGTCGCGCACGTCCGTGGGCGTGGCGGCGTTACTGTGGCTCTTGTCCTGCGTCGGCGGCGGCGTCCAGGCCGCGGCCTCGCGTGCCTGCCCGTTTGGGTTCCCCGTGCTGCCGTCCTCGATCATGTGCTGCACCATCTCCTCTATCTGCTCCAGGCATGTTTGGAGACAATCCTGCAAAACATTATGACGTTAGGTAATTCTCGATTTGTACCGTTAAAATTATAGGATCTCTCAGTCGAAGCTTGTAATATAAATGCCAATAATTTCTATATGCTATACTTAATAATGATGGTAACTTACCAAATCAATGCGCGTGAGTTCATGCAGCCGCGGCAGATGGCCGTCAAGGCCGAGGCCGCGCAATGCCGCCGCGATGCTGCACGACGCCAGTGTGCTCGCCGAGTACAGCGTGAACTCGTAGTCTACAACAAACACACCATTCATTAAAACTGTGCCGGCCGCACTCATCATTCTTAACCTAATTTATTAATCCGTCATCTCTCTATTGTTAGATCAATTAAAATGTTTGTTATTTCAACGCTCTGATTATTATTTAATTAAAACAGGACCGTTTGTTTAATAAAACCGCAATAGGATATGGATCAGCTCACTAGCGAATAAATTAAACTAATTTTCCTGTCCTAGTACAATGCATTCAAAGTAGAATGTAAAATTAGAGGTAGGTAAAGTGTAGCGCATTAGCCTTCATGTAGTCGTCAGTCCGTAGACGGTGCGAATACGGCGACGGTCGGCCGTAGAGGCTAGAGGAGTGGGGTATATCCGGCAAAAGAAATGTTCTTTCTCTCTCGCGCAGGTTGTCAGTCTCCTGTGGAGAGTGCAGCCTCAAAGGAGCCGGCACCCGCCCTCGCGGCCGCATTCCACAGGCTCGCTCCTTCGCCTCACTTGAATATTTCTCACGGGCTTACTTTGGCAAAACCATTATACCATACATCATATATGTAGGGAGGCTCGCATATACGTGTATGGAGGGCTGGTATCCAACGAACATTGGATGTGGTTTCTAATACGTGTCCAACGGACATTCAGATCAAGATAAACAGGAAAATGGAATACGGAGCATTTAATTTATTAAAACTCATGTACACTATTCGTATTTCAATAAGTCATTAGGATATTGCTCGTCAAATTTCAACTTATTGATCATTTGGAAATCAATGTAGGTCTATGTACCTATTATGACGCAAATACAATCGAAATTTTTGCGATATCATCGTTACTTTACATTACAAGTAGTTTCTTTCAGTCCCTTTCTTTGTTTTGAAATATGTATGCAGTACCTAAACTAAGTACGTTGGTAGAAAACTATAAATATCGACAATGATGACACCCCATTAAAAGTTCAACAGTTGCAACAAGTTTCTTTATTTCTTTAGATCATTGTTTAAATCAAAACTAACATTATTTCAAAGTATTTATCAGCAGTTATTTAGTTCACCACACATAGCTGCTTCTGATAATAAAGCAGGAAAATAAGCTGCCCGGCCTTGTCAAGTTGTTGTTAACAAACCAATATACCTACTTACCTGAATACTATGGTTTCAATTCTACTGAAGTAGGTAGGTACAGTCAAGCTTTTATAAGTGGTATTCGGATAGGTATGCGCAAAACATAAAACAAGTTCCCACGCTTCTACAGGACTAAGATAAGAACCTCTGCAAGGATGCGAGACACCACGAATGCCCACTAACTGGAAGACGCAGACAATATAATACGAGTGAAGCCTACAAGAACCCTCCATTCATCATTAAGTAGACTCTATTATACCGACCAGTGTATGGATATCGAACACTCTTTCAGCTCATTTAAAAGATTTATTTTCATTTTTTTTAATTTGCATGTCGGCATACCCGAGATAAAGGGAACGGGTAAAGGGAACGAATAAAAAGAGAGAGATGAAACAACGAAAGCGGCCGCTCACTCGAGGTATTTGCATAATCTGATGTTAATCAAACAGACCAGTACCCGGTGCGCGTCCGAGCCGGCCGGCCCTGCCGACGAGCAGCCCCTTTGTCAAGATCACCAGTCAGTCTGATTGCTGAGCGTGATGCCTGCGCTATGTAGCCGTGCAGCCGTGGTGTGCTAGGCTGGAGCTGCACGGCGCAGGACACACACGTAGCGGAAGCGAGCGCGTCCTTATTAGTCGTGACGGCGCTGCTTCATCACGAGCTAATAACACTAATGTACACTTTCTAGAGGAAGTGGCACAGCGACGTCGGTCCCACTGCACTTTGGTGTGTATGTAAATTAATAAAGTTGTGTACAGTGTGCCCCTCGTAGACAGGCCGTGGCCAAGTATGGCCCGTCTACGCGCGGGGATTGTACATCCGTTTCTCCTCGCTTCTGTATCATTTTAAAAGTTCGTTGCTCGAATAGTGTTCATGATGAGTTAATTTATTATTTAAATTAAATAACAAAATGTTTTTTTATCCACAGTTATTTGTTGTAATTTTAGAATTTGTAGAAGTTCTATTAGGAAAGGAATCTAAAAGAATCTCAGTCTTTCAATTAATATGACGGCAGTGATATAATAGTCAAATTCCGTCATTTTATTGCCCTTGAGAACTAAGTACCTACATATAATAGGTGTCGTCGGCACAGGTACCAGTAGCACGCGCAATAGTCGATTCGCGAGGTGAACGATCCCACAAGGCCGGATTGTTCGTAGGTACCTATACCTATTCGTTGAGGAGGGAACTGAAATGGTTTAAATTGGCAACTACAAGACCAGACGCGACGTGTTCTTTTTAATTGTTGGAAAACCAATCTCGTGGTTGCAAGCTGGGCGCAACCCTTACATGGAATAAAGCACTATTTCCGAAAAATGGTACGTTAAAATAATAATGATATGAAAATTAAGCTAGCTTAGATAGATTCATTGGTCACCGGAACAAATGCCGCGTAGGCACCGCGACATCGTCTACGGCGGCGACGACCGCTACCTACCCGATGTGCAGCGCGCGCTCACATGTGAAAGAATAATATGTATGTACCTATCCGATGCAGATAAGATATACCTGTCTCGCGCAATATAGGTCGCGTCACACCTCACATACCACACATGAGAACCACTTCAACATTGTTCATACCCCAAGCCGCAGGAAAGAATGTAGGTATTAATAAAAAGAGAATATGTATGACTTATCTCATATTCATCATCATTGTGAGGACCAGCGAGAGTTGTCAGCATTAAAATAACCCATTACAAATTTAATATCCCCACGAGTTATGATTCCGAAGTAAATTGTGCCATTCAAATAATGATACATAATGCGGGCTCGCTCGATACCGCGAAACGACAAGTATACGCGATCTCACCGCTTCGCCTGGAGGGTAGTATGTGTAGACTGTATAGTGTACACACGTCACATTCATGTAGGTAGTAGTTGCATGCCCAGTGCCCAATAGAAACGAATACAAAAAACCTTTAAAGATATTGGGACTTTTGTAATGTTCATTGTATAGTGACACTGACATGGTTACTCATTCATTGAATTAGATACCTAGTTCGAAGTTTCAAGATCATCATCAATATTTCATAAATGGAAATGTGTATGTAATGTGGCGCACTCGATCGGATACATCAGCGAAGGAGATTTAATTCGCCTTGGACTCATAAGTGAGAGATGATATCCGAGAAGCAAGTGAAATAAAAGAGCTGGAGCGTGAACTTCTTGAACAAAAAACAATACGACAGCGGCGGCGAACAACAAAAACCGTTGCACAAAAACATATGATCCCATGAGGGTAGCGGGGGAGGCTCGGGCGGCGCGGGGGCGGGAGTCCCGAGGCGTGCTGGAATGCGCTCGGGCGAGCGGCGTGGGAGGCGCCGGCGCGGCCGCTGCCAGGACACACACACCGCCCGAGCCTGCGCGAGCGCCCTCACTGTAAACAAACCTATTCACATCTCGCTACGCTCTCTGCTAGCCGCCGGCTGACGATAACCATCTCTCCTAAGAATATATTCACCTATACCATAACCTAACAACCTATACCTAATAAATAGGCATTTCATATCCAGTTACTACCTAATAAACAAGTTTAACTTCGCAGTAATATGTTTGTTTTATTTTTATACATATAAGCTTCTGCGACGAATTTAACTTCAAAACTCATACATATTACTTTGCATTTTGTGATGTCGCAAAGAAAGAGGCCCTGATTACCAATGCTCGCGTGTAAATTATCTACAGTGATAAAATGCTAAAACAATTGATACCATATGGAAGGAAATAAATAACAACAGACGTAACAGATATCTCTGGTTGCGCAAAATGTGGCAAAAATTAAATTTATGTAAATGAAAAAAGTTAATAAAGAAGTAACTATTTCGAAGTAAAGGTTCAGTGACACGTGTCCATAGACCAACGCGGTCCGCAGCGCAAGACGACTATGTCGTGACATGACGTGGTATCTAGATGCTAATTACTGTCTGCCGTTGCAAACAAAACGTTACATGATGTACCTATTCTCATTCATGACAAGAGAACAATCTTTAGAAGACATCGTCCTGCCTTAGACACAACTACATACTAATATTTCTACGCAAGTGTTTAGACATTTTTGTCCATCTCGTGTTGTATTGATTCTGAAAGCAGCTTTCAGTTGACGCAGAGTCAGGATGTTGAAATGCTTACCTCTAGCAGCTAGCGAGATGAAAGTCTGCGCGTGTCTGTGCACCATTTCGGTGTTGACGAGGCCACGCAGTGGTAGCCGCGAGAGCAGAAGCGGCAGGAAGTCGTGAGCTGTCACTCCCGCGACGTCCCACTTTAGCTTCGACAGCACCAGCAGCTCCCAACTCTGTTAACAATGAAACAAAACATTCATCAAATAGGTACTTTATATTCCATTAGATTTATCAGTGGTAACACCAAAAAGGTCAATATCGGTGCGCTTGGATAATAAAATAGCATTCCTGTCGCCACATCCGCCGCTATAATCACTAACACGCCGAGTTTTGCTCGACTTCCCGGAACGGCGCGTAGGTAGTCCCCGGTGCTACGTTGTGCAATCAAATGAACAATGTTACAGTTTTAGTCCATGTTTTGTTTAGTCTCATTGAAAGTTCAAACAAAGTTACGTACCAGTCTTACAAGTTCAAAATAATTACTATATTCATAAATAGATAAATAATAATTCCTATAAGTTTTACACTATTGCAGAATCGATTAGGTCTTAATCTTTCTATATGACATTCAAGTGACTAAGATTTTCGTCTTGGGAACATAGACGAAAATCTTAGTCACTAAATGAATTAAATTTTCAGAGGCCTTTGGAAGACAAATAATAGCAAATCAAAAACGACAAACCTGTTGAACTTATCAAGTTGTTATTATCTTTTGAGAACCAAGTTGACCTACATTGAATCTAACTTTGACGTAATGTTCGATTTTGATATAATGATGCCAAGTTAGTGCTGAATAATAATGTGTAGGTAAGTAGCGTAGAATATCCCTAATATTTGAACGAGTCGTTTCATGAATAAGTTGATTATTTTGTGTACGTACACACTCATACATGTACGCGTTGCATGTCCGTTGACAGATAATACTCGATGTTTACTTAACTCAATCGACGGGGTCGACCGCGGCGGCCCGGTTGTTACTTTTCTTTCGATCAACTGTATATCTCACACCGATGAACTTAAAGTTGGTATTTGTTAAGCAAGGGATAGCAGTTAGGGCATATAGATTCTTCGCATATCATGTTTATGAATGAATGAATGAAGTATCATCACTGGAAGTCGAATTAAATCGGGACTGCGTGAGAGTGTGAGTAAGCAACATGAGGTTACAATGACACTATCTGATATAATAAATAAGTAGAAATAGCGACATTTTGCGTAAGAAGAACAATATTTATAACGTTGACACATAGGCTAAAAAGAGTAGGCGAGTAAAAGCGGTTACTAATGCCAGTATGCGGGTCGACCGCGAAATGAAAATAAATACTTATTCGTTCTATCGTTTAACTGGTTAAGTTGTGACGGGTTAAAAAGCTCTTCGGAAACAATGCATTCATAAAATTTTCACCGCAAAAGTAGGTGTCGAAGGCGGATTCAGATCTTGTATGTTGGATTTTATTTAGAAAACATAACACATGTTCCTGAAATATACTGTTTGGTATAAGTAGTCGCAAGATGACATATAGTTGTGGCATCAGCTGATCACATAAATGAAATGGCCGATTCACGTGTGCCAATGAGACTGTTTGAGACTTTGAGAGCGAGCGCGTACAGGCTAGTAGTCGTACTCGTTCACAGCTAGCACAGCACTCACATGTGTGGAGTCGGTCCACCGTCCACCCGAGACGGATGGAATGCAGCTCGTAAAGTTGCAGGCGAGTGTTCATTAGAGTGGAGGAGGCCGGGCGGCGGCGGCGGGCCGGGTGCGGCGGCCGCAGCAGTTATCGAACCACGTTACAGCCAATAAAGCGAGCTATGCAAACAGCCCTCGTTGCCCGCAACACACTCGCTGAATTCCACACTCGGTTCCCATGCTTTATCCAATTTCATCGAACGGTGTGACTGCGCCGCTATTAGAATCAAACAATGACTCGGTGTCGCGTGGCCACTAAGCTTATGAGACTAAACAACTTCGGAATTTTCCAGATGCGGATGGGAACAGTCTTACTAGTGGTTATTAAAAAGTAACGACGAATTGAAATTTTAACGCGTTGTGAAGGTAAACTACCGTATCGTATACAATGTTTAAATGTATGTATGTAGAAACTGCATGGTAGGTAACCTGCGAGGTAGATAGGTATTATTACTAAGCCTAATTGGAGACAGTCATCGATGAAAACCTCATGAGTGCAGTATTGAATACAAAATTTGCTGTGAGCGGACAAAACGTGTTGGGCATGTACGATATCGCAATTCTTACGTAATATTGTAACCATCAGCGCATTCCTGTAAAATGATTATACTGACTGTCGTCACTGTGAGTTTTGTCGAAATATTTACCGATAAGGTGACGTAGTGCATGTACATAATGATTACAGATTTTTAGTTTAATAGATTTCAAATGTTTGTTGAAAGTAGGTAGTAAGAAAGAGGTATCAGTAAGAGGAGTATTTACGTAGGTAGGCAAGGCGACAGTCTCGTGCAGCACAATGGACTCGGTTGCTCAGGCTCTCAGGCCGCGTTCCACATCGTGATACTCCTAACCACAAAATTTTCATTTTTTTTCTTCCTCACGGCCACCGCCCGCATACGTCGAGTTGTTCCACGGGTACTCATTGGAATTTTATTACCGTTGAGAGTACCTTTTACTGGCGAACACTTTAATAATAGTCAATGCTCCTCAAACAACTTTTTGCAAGAATTTAAAACATGGAATTTAAAGTTTTTGGGAAGCTATGCAAGTGTGGACGGATGTGAACACAGACTTTCTTCGATGAAGGGGTAAAAGTGAGGGAAATGTGGGTAATGCATTGGCGTGATATTAAGGTAGCTAAGTGACACAATTTTCTAACGAGCCGGCGCATGCGGCGGCGTCAGCGTCACGTACCTTCACTCGTATGCACTGAGGTTATCGAGCGCGCGCGCGCTCGTTAACACAATTTCTGTTCTAACCTAGGTGTCACTCAACACATGCACTTATCTTCGTCGATGACAGTAAAAAATAACTATTTTACCAAAAAGTAATCCAGTAACCGCGCTAAAATAATTTGCACTGACACACCCTGCCAAACAGATGGAATATTTTCGAAATAATATATTATCTTATGTTGTAATGGTGGAACGAACCATTCTGCACAACGTATGAGGTTTTAGAAAGTACATAAAGTAAGATAGGTAGTGCACACAGGCAGTCGTTTTGTTGTGTCACATTAGTTCGCAGGGGAAGTTTCATTTGCACCGGAAACATGCAGGCCGCGCGCCGCGCCGTGAGATCGGCAAACAACGCGCGCTCGTGCTAATAAGCTCATTCCTCATATTCTAAACAATAATTTCCTTTAACAGATTAAAGCATACCACGATTTATTATTAGAAATTGAAATAGAGTACAAACGTACCAAGTATAAGTAAACCCTTTTCTAAAGCAGAACCGACCACATCAGTTTACAATCAAACGTCCAATAAGTTTATGATATCGGACTTGATTGTGTCTGTAATAGTTCTCATTAAACTTAAATTTTAACCGTAAACGCAATATTGAATAGTCTTTTGACAAACTGGCACCGCGGTCGTAAACTTATGCTTCAATTATAATAAACGTTTACAGTGGTAGTGTGGATGTGAGAACGTGCAGGTTTTATGGGCGAGCGCTGAGCGGCGCGGGCGGCGGCGCGCTCGACCGCGAGAACCCCGCATTAAAGCCGCTCGGATGCCAGGACGTGCTCTTTTTGCTCCAGCCTGTGCGCCCGCGCAGCCGTGCCCGCCAACCGCCAACAACCTCAACAATCAAATCTAACCGATTGTTCACTCACACTCGTCTACGAGTACGATACAAGTCGTCTAAAGTCGCCCCACACCACACCGCTCACGCCTCGCGCCAGATCTCTCCGACATTAACACTTGCTTTATACACCGAGCAAAACATTACAGGTTAATACACTGGCTTCCATCGACTAGCTACACCACGATTTAGATAAAAACTTAATTAATTGGAGCCGACTTCTATTAGATACAGTTGGGTGAGTGGTTGTAAGATGAGCATATTTTTAATACCTGCTCTACGTATGTATGCATTATATGTACCGTTATTGCGATAACATGCGAAACATTCGAAATATACTTGATAACTCCACGATTACAATGAACTGCAATCGGTCGTTTTACTTTATCGAAATAGAAATTATCACAAAAAAATGTGGACGACCGGCTTAATTCGAGCATAGCTACGATAATTCGTAGCGGGTCTACGAAAGTGCTACGAAGTCAATTTTAGCTACTACGCAGAAATATTTACTTGAATAATGTTACTAAATGTAAAATTATTTTCAATCTACGTGTCTAGTTGTTTATATGGAATATTTATTTGGTATTTTAAGGTCTTTTGAATGTGTTGTGGCCTATTTATGGTATAAATAAACCCACCTTCATTTTATGGTATGGTGCGTGTATGTGTAATGGGAAAAATTATATTTTGTCGATATTGCTAATAACATATATTTCATTGGTATCTATTGGCAGTTATGAATTGTGTGACTCAGTGAATTAACATAATTAAGCGTAGGCAGCTACAGCTAGGTCGATACATAAAGACGGTGCAGATGAACACTGAAGACTCGCTCACGATGGGTGTGTAAAAATTCATGAAGGTACAATAATAAATATCTACGTAGTTAATTTGAAGGTGTGATCTATTTAGGAGCGTGGTGTCGATCTGTCGGAGCTTCGTGAGATGAGATTATGAGCGGTCGCGACTTGTGCCGCGACGCGTGAGAAAAAATAAGCGGCGTGCTTCGCCTGTAATTGGTCTGATTGAAACGCGAGCCTCGTTCGGCGGTTCTTCCGAGAAGTCGGTCGGCTCGTTAGGGGACACTGTCCGCGGGGCACTCAGGGCAGCCCTCTCCCAGACCGCGACCTGTCGCATTCCATGACCACCGCTCACCATACGCACCTACGGTATGTCGTATAATTACAATCATTTCGTTCGAACGTTTACCAGCGCCCTAATTTAGAGCGAGAATTGCCACTCGGTAACTTAACATTATATTGACTAGCGCGAGTAAATCAATAGCTCATTAATAACCAATTGCCGTTACTAAATACAGACATCTAAAATGCGGAGCACGGAATGCAGTTGCATTGCAGGCAGAACGAGTCGTGTATGTGTATTATGACGCGCGAAAATGTGGTGTGCACTGTGCACTAATTATCTACGGGACGAACGGCGACGGCCGGGGCCCCGGCGGGTGGCCGCGTCGCGCCCGAAATGCAGCACAGCTAACACGTAATACGTTACATTTAATGCAAATACCTACAACATGTGAAATAATATCGCGCGGATACATCGCGGAGCAAACTTCAATCTTCATCAGCCATGTTAAAACTTACAAACCTATGGTAGATAAGCTAACCTAAATGCCAATGGCCTTTATTAACATTAGGAAAGTTGTCCAAGTGAGGACAGTATTATTGCTTGACATGGCACAGGACCACTTTGAGTAATGGCTTGCCAAAGAGAACGGTGCCATGCGACTATTGTCAATGTCTACTTCGACCTCCGACAAAAACAGAATTTTATGTATGTAAGTACGTACAACCCATATAATTTATTTGACACCAATCGAATGTAGCACTTTAAAATCTTAAAATGTTTGCTAAGTAAATAACCTGTTACATAACGTCTCACGTAATCTCTGTAAATACCTTAACTACGGCTGAACGGGTAGCATTTTGTTGTATGTTAACTGATATTTTTAAACATAAAATGCTCGCCTCAGTAACGATTACGGCTAAACAAGGAAAATTTGCTACTCATCGTCCTTAATATTCCAGAATATGATTCGTACTTGACCTTTTATTCGATTGTGACTATTAATAGGAACTAGTTATTAACTGTAGTGTTTCACTTACTCACTGATTAGTCTACAAACGTTATGAAGTGAAATATTTTTAATTTTATTAGTCACCCTCTTTACGCAGCCCACGTTGTGTTAGTGCTATATGTCCGCCATGGCTAGTGTGTACTTTGTAGTGCTGTGAGACAAATCGCGTCATAAAGACGACGACGTAGCTCCTATAGTCGATCACTCCATAGATATAATTAATGTTCCGACATGAAACTGGAATTCCAATCTCTCGCGGATGTTCAGTGTGCGAATGATTTAGAAATCAGCGGAGTGAACGACACGAAAGCACCTAGAGCTAACTGCAAAATTAGTGCATGCGCGTGCGCGATGCATAAACTCAGCCATACGAAACTGCATGATTAATAAAATCAGCTGTTTCCTGAGACAAAGAAAGTTAATTAATTCTTCATATTACTTCATATGGCAGTGCGCGGAACGCCGGAAGCATACTCAGAGTGCTATTGATGTAATTAACAGTACACAACACGTCAATTGATTGAAGCGTCGATGGCTCCGGCAGTTGTAATAAAGCACGCGCCCGATATCTCGCTGCATCTGCTAAACATTCATGCAATCATGAACAGAAAGTACTTACACATAAGTCGGCCAGTGTGATGCTGTTGGCAGTGTAGAAGACGAGCAGCTCAGCAGGCAGCGCGCGGGAACCGGGCTCGCGCAGCTTGGACGCCAGCAGTAGGCACGCCGTGCCCAGCAGCTGGACTTGGCTCTTGCTCACCGCGCACGTGCTCAGGAACCGATCCAAGTAAGATATCGCCAGTGGAAACACCTCCTCCTGGCATCCCTGGTCTTCACACACCTGCAACACAAGGAACTGTTAGTAAACTTTGCACCGATAAACCGTTTTGTTTCTTAGAAAGTACTGGCACCGCACCCAGACCATTGCTTAGTTTATCATCCGGAATTCCTGATAACCTATATATAAAATGGAAATACACACTTATTGCGATAAATACAGCGCGCCTTACTTTCCTGCAGCAGTTATACATTCCTTATCAAAATGTTAATGGTTCCTGAACGCACTTGATACTACGACCGGAATTGAACGTGCTTTTGTCAAATATAACGTATGGTACGGTTCCAGGCTGCCAATACCAAGACGCTGAGCTTGTACAACCCGGAAAAGTCGGGACTACGCTTATCTTACATTGTTCGTTAGACGGATTCACAATTTTTCCTTGTACAGTAGAACATAGTTTGAAATCACGTTTCTGTTGGACAAATCGCATTTTATCATGAAATATAAAGTGAAATCAAACCATTTCTTCAAAATGAGTTATTTTAAAATGGAAAGTAGGGAAAGCGAAAGGAGCTGCTAGGTCCAAAGTGCTAACGTACCTAGTCGTAAAGTATGTGGAGTGTCATGAGAGACGAAGCGTCGCAGATTGTTCCCGGCATAGTTTCGCACGGTAACGCGACTCGCGAACCGGCACGGATCCAATCGTATCACCGTGAATACAACATGTAGGTACTCGAGTACGTAAGAACATATACATATAACCTGATGCATACCGCTCAGACTCTCACGGTTTACCTCGCTCATAACTAATTAACTATCTCAATCCACTCTGTCGAATTTCTTATCTGACGAGATTCCACTGATTCTCAGAAAAGTCTAGTGCAACAATAAGTCTCCAAATTACAATAATAAAATAAAAAAATAGTTAAGTTTTTGTAAGTACGGCTCCATGGTACCCAGCTATCGAAGCAGAACGAGTGAGCATCTAACGAATGCCACATGCGCCTATAAAACAAAGTTATTATCGTTAATACCTATTACGAGCTATGTACATCAGTAGTAAGCTAGGGAGTAGGCCGTGAGATACCACGTTTCATGTACTTTTTCCACTGGTAACATAAATACATAGGTACTGCCTGGGGTTTCAAAACATCTACTTATTACAGCAAAAATAAAATCGTGATCTTCATTTAGATAACGATATTACAAATGCAATAACACGGATTCGGTGAACAATTCCCGAATCGTCATGTAATGCTTTTTGAGTGAGCTTGATGATTAAACATAAAAGTTAAATGCGAGCATATTGGAGATGTCATTGACCCGACGGACTGTGAGGATCGTTTCGGTCTGCTTGTGCTGAAACGTCGGTATGCGACTAGTTTAAGTGTAAGCACGAGGTGAGCCGAGATGGCGACTGCGCCGGACTCCGGAGCCCGAGCCTGCCACCGCATGTAGCAGCAGTGCGCGCACCGTGACGTCAGCACCGCGCCGGCCGGCTCCACGTGGCGGTGCCGACTGCCGACACATATATTACACATACTTCATCTAAGCAATACTTAGATAACTAACAAATACATCTAGTATTGCGACTGCTCTACAGAACGTTCCAATTTTATAGTTTTCGTTATATCAGACGATTAGAATTTCTTTTTACTGTCAGTAATAATCTAAATAGTAAGCAAAGTTCATAATAAATTACACGTCATGTAGGCCACTGAATACGAACAATGACGTTGGTGTGTGCGCTTGTAATTTATTATTTATATGTACATATACAAGCAAAAGATAAGTGCGCAGCGGAGCGTCAGCTGTGTGCGTGTCAAAATCAGCTGATTATTCAAATAGAACGAGCGGAGTCGCATCGGTCGGCGACCGCGCCCGCCCGCGCTCGCGCCGGGGCCCCTCGCACGCTACACAGCCGCTCTCTGCGCACGCTACTCGAGACTCGACCACTTGCTTACTCAACTAGGTACCTACGTACGCCAGCGCCGGCGCTGCATACTTACTACTAACACATTTCCAATACCTACTACTTAATCTTCAACCCATGACAATCACTGTAAACGGTCTGCGGATCGTTATTTCCAACTAACGACTTATTTGCTGTTGTTATTCTTATAAGAATCTAACATGTGAAACGAAACCGTAATCAGCTGATCGTGTAAACAAAGCCATAACGTCCACTTTAGCAATAGTAGTGCAATGACTTGAAGTTATCATGGTTAGCACGTCTTTCAACAACACAAATGCAAACACTCTGCACTAGTATGTCATGGGAACAGTCTCCGCGGCATCGAGGAGTCACAGACGCGAGGGAGCCCGACGGCAGACAGTGGCGAGAGCATACGAGGGCCACTGGTGCCATAGGGAGTAACTACACGTGGCCGGAAAACGAGACAAAATGGCGATCGTTCGGGTTGCGCGATCCGCAGATGGAGCGGTGTGGGTGCGGCATGCGGCGCGGGTGCGCTCACCTCTAGCATCCACTCGGCGACGAGGCGGCGCATGTGCGGCGTGACCTCGGTCTGCACGGTGCCAAAGTAGTTGGCGGTGACGGCGTAGCGCTCCTCGGTCCGCAGCAGGTTGTCGAGCACGCGGCGCCGCAGCAGCACCGGGTCCGGCGCGGCGGCCCGGTGGGCTCGCACCGCCGGCGGTGCCCGGCCCACATCGCCGCTATCGGGACTCACGCGCTCCGCGCACAGAAGCTCCATGTTACACCGCACTGCGGCTTATTGACAGCTCGCGTCGCGGCCGGTGTCGGCGTATTGTGGTCGGACAGCTGATCGTGCGCGAGCGGCCGGCGTGGAGTGAAGCGCGTTGTGTTGCGACGACGGCGAGTGCCCGAGTCGCAGTGAGCAGCCGGTAAGCGCCTCGTCGCCGAACATATGATCGGCGCGGCGCGGGGGCACCGCGGGGGCGGGGCGGGGCCCGTGAGGCCCGCACGCAGGTTTCTCCCATTCGACGTTCAAATAATAATACATAACATGTTTTCTTGCTCGCTCGCGCTCTGAAGTTCTTCTCTCTCAGTCTCGATTCTTGCTTCTCATTCTATTAGGTGCTTTCGTACTAACTTACTTTACTTATAAATACATATATAAGATGAATTCCTCAGGTATAGTAGAATAATAAAATCGGTTGTATAAACAACTACCTGTAGCGTAATTTTTCAAACTTCCTTTACTAATTACGTATAAGTAAAAGCGAATACTCTTAAAATTATTTATGTTTCTTTAAAATTTTAACAATGTTTACATTATTAGTTGAGCTTGAATTATGCTATTACTATATTATGTAACCTCCGGGTCTCATTACCTCACTCGCCGTCGTTAGTCAGTGGGGCGGCGCAGGCGGCCAGTGAACTTTTCAAATCGCCTAGCGCCTAGGCTAGGGCGGCTGACAGTCTGCCACAGGTACAGGCACAGCGCTAATCACTGCTCCACGGCTCCACCCCATTTGGTTTACTTTGATATAGGTACCCAGACACTTACAAACATGATGTAAGGTTGATATTTTTACATAGGTTCTGTGTACCTGCGTCCTGCCATAGATATATAAAAAAACAGTTATCATATCTACGGTAAGTACCTACGCACAATGAAATCTTTTGAGAAGTTAATTACGACCTTTTTACTTAGGCAAAAACCTTAACACCTATTTATCACCTAACTGTCGTTTTAAAAAGTACTTGAAATATTTTATTCGGGCAATTTTGACCAATGTTCGTCTATTTCCATTTAGGATAGATGTTGTAATTATGTTTGTCGAGGAACTTCTAATAAAATAAGTGGTTTTTTTTTCACTTTTTATGATCAAAAAATGTTTGCAGGTATGTCAGTCAATCGGTACGGCCATGAATGATGACATTGTGATACTATGTCAGTAGCCGACAGAAATAAATAGACCGTGTTAGCTTTTTGCGTCAAATTACACTTTGTAAGTACGAATTAGTAGTTTCCTTTTGCTGCAACTTATGTCCTAGCGTAAGTACCTATATTATTTAGATAGGTTAGTAGGTATGTTATGTATCGGTTAGTAAACTTTTAGGTCATATTTTATATTTACATACATAATTATAAAACGCAGGTAAGGTCAATTATAATTTTTTTTTAAGGGGGGAATATCATCGAATGACTGCTCGGTCCCGCCTGGCTGAGGCGGGAGGGAGTGTCAGACTCTTACTGACTAAAAACCACCCCGTTCCCTCTCCTGCACTTCGAGCCGGAGCCCTGGTAACCCGTTAGGTTCTCCGCGACAAGGTCAATTAGTGTACAACTTAAATTAAGTTCAAATAGGCTATTCTGTAACTTTCAATTCGAAACATCGACAGTCATTGGTTGTGAGAATAATCTTGACCAATGACGGGCGAGAATGCGATCGAGCTTACTTCGAAAGTTCGAATTGACAGTTACAGATTAGCCTTACAGGTCATTTTGAACTTGCGGAATTATTCTAGAGTATTCTAGACTAACCCAAACGCCTAATCAATAGTAAGTAGTAACAAATCTTACTGCCTCTATTCATTTTTCATTTTATTTCGAGTTTTTGGTCAAAGTTGGTCAGTTTTACAGTTTCTAAATTATATTATTGTTTGTTTTATTTAATTGTAATTAATTGAAATTCGGTAATAAACAAGCCACGGTTTTGTATGTTTACTATTACGTTGAACTTTCATCACTTCCTGCGTAAGAACTAAAGATAACATCGTCTATTTTTATTATGCTGTAGTTAGGTTAGGAGGTAGGTAAACAATACTCTATTTATATACTATTACAATAATGTTCAAATATTATGTTTATTTGCACTATGTAAATAGGGTCCGAAACTATAAGACTGACTTTGGTTTAAAATTGTTTCATCCTTCGCCGGCTCACTTTACTATAAATATAAACGCTGAAAAAGTTGGTAAATACCATACGAACCAATGTGACAGCTACGTAATATTATTCTGAAACTTATTTTAATAGGAGCCCTTTCCTTGTATCCTGTATGAAATGGGCTAAGAATCGACTTTAGCTTGCATCCCTTAAAAGCAAACAAAACTATTCTTCTTCATTCTTGGGGAAGTACCGAAACATCTGATTGACTGAATGAAAACCGTTTTAGGTACGTCATATGTGGGTAAATATTTAGCTTATCTATATTCCCAGAATAGAGTTGGGCCTTAACGAAAAAATTAAGAGGGAATAAATAAGTAAAATAACATCTTTGCCTGAAATGTGAATACCGAATACTTGGTAGACCTACATCTCAAATGTGTTGAATTTTTAGACCGTTGTTGTTTTCAATGAACCTAAAGCTTACGTAAGTACTTATAAAAAATTTGATGTTTACGAATATTAAGGCAGCTAAAGTATCCATACTATGGATTCCATAGCTATCTATGTCAGTACAAAAAAACCGAAAATCATGTCGTAAAATTCAAAAGTCGTTATTACCGGTGTAGTAAAATCCTATTTCTATCAACATAGATAAAGATATCATACCTAAATATTTAGTTGTATAAAATAGACGGACACTATGGACAGTTTATACGGAAACTATTTATAAAACTAAGCGTTTCATGTTTCGTTTAAATTACTTTAGGTTGGCGACTAGTAAATCGTTGGAATGTAGGTACCAAATCTATTACAAAAAATTAATCGATTTTGCCAGTCTGGTGTGCAAGACCATTCATAGGTTTTTAACTATTATAAAACATGAAGAATTCGATAAAGTCATTGTTACCGTACACTGCACGGCTAATCAAAAGTATTGTAGGTATCATCAAGTCCCAAATGGAATGTGAAAAAGTTCGATACACTTATGTAAGACCAGGTATGCCGATGAAAACTTACAAATGACCTGGATTCCTGCATCAATGTTGGAAATGGAGCGGAAAATATCAGTCGCTAGAACAGTCGTCACTCTATGGAAAGAATGCAACAGACATTCACATGATACATGTACCTATTACTATTAGGAATATTTTCTTCCGTGTAAATGATATGTAACAAGACAATCAATCAATTCATAAAAACCATATTAAATCTAAAATTTTAATCGTCACGGAATTTTGAACCGGTGAGTGGTGACGTGCTCTTTAAGTAGGTACTGATACAACTGTCTGTCTAATGAGGTTTGAACCTTAGAATATTAATTAAACTGTTTGCCCAACGCATCTAGCCACTGGTTGTACTAGTGACCGTAACCGTCGACGTCCATTTCTTGGCGAACGTGTCTCTAATATCTCGCAGCTAATTACTCAATAGCGTTAGTGATCGATCGTCGATTTGTTCTCATTGTTGTTGAATGTCAACGGCCATATAAAAGCACTTGCTTGTAGCAATAGCAGCGGGTCGATCAACTCCTTCGCGGGTTTTTTGCTAATTCAAATGAGAGGTGTGCGCAAGCGCACCGTGCAGGGCTCACGCGCAGGAAGTGCGCTATAACCGCGCGTCATTAATCACCGACTAGCCGGCTTCCTTCACTCCACTTGGCCAATATGAGGGCGACACTTTTATTGTTTCGCGTATTTTTAATTTTTATTGCACACGCCTCGCGTTACTTTCTGCGGTCGGCACTCGACAGCTCCAGCGCTAAGACAACAGCTCGTAAAATGTTTGTTACTCTACTTTTATAAAATGTCTCAATCGTAACGTTGTCGAGTTTAACAATGATGATGGGGAGGAGTACACCAGCAACGGGCAGCAAATCTTCTGGACCTTTGACCGGATACGTGCTTAGTTTCCTTACTTGTATTAAAATGAGCTTGAGCGCAAACAATGAACAGAATTCCAAAACACGGTAATAATACGGAATGCTTAGTGCGAGCGGGACATCACTCTTTCTTGGAACCACGACACTGCGTAATGGAACGCGGCAAAATGGAATGCAACCGGCACCGTTGATCGGCCGAACCGACCACTCTTTACTAAAAGTAATAAGTGAACTCTCCAGCTAGGCAGGCAATATCTTCTTCACATTACTTGCGCATGCGTTGTGATAATCGAATCATCATTCATTTCCATTCATCAATAAAATAATCTTTTATTGTACCGCATCCAAATCAATAAATTTACTCGTTTATTAGTTATCTTATTTCTACGTCGAGAGCCTGTAATACTATATTCACAATTTACTAGATACCTTGATTTTTTGTTCTTGATTAATTACTTAATTATTTTTATTTTAAATTATTACAATTAGTGCATTTTTTTGCACATACTACTTATTTTTTGTTGCGCTCTTCTCTGCAGACAGCTCCGCTAGTAGTCCTGAAAATTACTATTCAATTGAGATTTAGTTTTGAGGAACCTGTCTGTGTTCTAACTTAACTCACCCCAGTACGATCCCATCAAATCACCAAGAATCAAAGTTTCAAATAGCTCAATAAGCTACAGCCCAAAGTCACAGACCATATCAAAACATTGGACAATAATAAAGTATTAAGAAATAAGAGACTCGGTAATTGTGATGAAAGTTTGGGAACGTGAAGCGTGGAGCCACTGGAGTTATCATTTCCGTCGTTCCGCTCAGATGTTCACGGTAGGAGCATGGACCTCAGTGTCACAATAAAACACGTCTGTACCCACAACGTTTTTCTCAGCAACCATTTTACAAGTACTTACACCAAAGTTTTTGTACTATCCATCACAATACAAGTTTGTCGTTGCCTCTTAAAATCTCGTTTTCCTGAACTCTTTTTCATTGTACACCGGAATCTCGTGTTTTGATCGTCACTCTGTATCTAAAGATCGACTTTTTGTAAATTGATTATATTTTTTTATAATTTCCGTTTAATTTATATAATCAAGACTGACAAGTAAATAG